CCCCAAAAACCCCAAAACCCCAAAACCCCGAAGAGGGGTATTTCCGATTATACTGAGAAATAAAAACAATAAAATACTTGATTTAAATATATTGTTGAGTCTCTTAGATAATTAAATGTCTATTAATCAAAATCTAAGGACTACGAGGTCTAATCTTCCTCTGCTGGTCCTAACACCTAAAATAATGACCAAAGCACCTCATGAAAGATCTAGTTCTAATAACGATGGAAGCCATATTAGTATAAAAAAGCATCTGAGTTTGGTTTATACTATAAATCATTTCGCTAATGACACAAATTGTCTGCCCGAATTGATGGATCCACTAGTTGCTTCACTTAAGAATTAAGTAATTACTAACTTATACGGAACTTCAAGCAATTTAAAAGTTGAATAGCTTTAAGAATAGATAGATAATTTTGATGGGTTACTGGATATGGTTTAGAATCGAGACGAATTTAGCCTAAATAGCATTAACAATAAAACTGCTTATGCAGTAATGAACGGTTCGTAATTCGAAGACTCTCTTATTGAAAATAATTCGAAAAACTAACTGAGTAATAAATTTAAGAAGAAAAAGGATTATAATTAGAAAAACTTAAAAACCATTACGAGCAACAATGATTAGAACAGAGATGATGAAGATCAGGGACTGACTAGTGAGCATTATATTCCAGGAAAAAAACTTCCACAAATCGTTGTTAAAAACTAAAGTTTAAAGAATGACACCTCAGGTGATATAAGGTCTTACAAAAGTACGCGTCCTAACAATTAAGTTAAGTTTTCATAAATTTTGGAGGATGATGTTGCTGATAAATAAGCAAAGTACACTGAGAACATTCCAGACTAATCATAGGATCAAATAACTGATAATGCCAAATACTCTTACTACATTAATGATTAGGAGGAGACACCTTTTTCTAAATATGTTAAATCTATGTCAAGCTAAAGCTAAAATACATATATAGCACCCTTTAGTATGAAAGGTAGATCTAAGGATAAAGAAGATCAATAAATTCTTGATGATTCATCATCTAATAGTAAAGATAAGTTAGAAGAATAGCTAAACTCAGGAGTCGATAAAAGCCTATCTTAAGCTATAGACTAAAATGACAATAATCAGGAAGACCCATATCTATACTATATTGAGGAAGATAATGATAAGAGTCTTTGCATGGAGGATTAGCTTATCGAATAGAAAATCAGCAGTACATTTGATAATGCAATAGATCAGGATGAGCAGGAAGAGGAAATACTTCAACCTTCTAGTATGATGGAATCTCCTGATTAAAAGATTTAATATACTACTCTTGATAACTAGTAAGAAGAACTGAAAGTAGAAGATAGTCCAGATAAGGTTAATAAGCAGTAATAGAGTCCAAATGATATTGATTAATCCTAATTGGTAGAGAATAGTAATGCTGAACAAGTATTATAAAAGACTTAAGATCAGAGGGTGTCTGTATTTGGTAATTATGAGTAATAAGTAGAAAATTAGATAGAATATTAACAACTGCCAGAAGTTAATGATGATATTGAAAACTGCTTTAATTAGCAAGAAGAATTTGATGAGTAATTATAAGTAAATAAACAAGAGTCTTAAGTAAAATTTGAGAAATAAGCATCATTTGGAGCTATTTTAGATGAATAATAAATTAATGATTAGGAAAATGAAAATTTGGCACTTAACCAGAAAATTGCTGCTGAGTATATCAAATAGCTATTTCAATCAGCTAAGGAAAAATTTGATGCTTAATTTAAGGTCTAAAAAATTCAAACTGTCAAGATAAAATAAAAAAGAGTCTAGAAGAGTGGGACATTATTACTTGAAGGAGCATCACAGTAAGCTCCTACAAATGATATGTAAGACTAACAAATAGTTGTTATGGAAGAAAGCAAATAGGAATTTCATGATTAAAGTCAAGAAATTCAAATGAATGAAAGTTAAAGTTATTAATAAATTGAATAAGTCTTACAAAAATAGGAATCAACTCGATAAGTCTAATAGACTACACAAGAAGAAGCTTAAATTAATGATGTATCTAACTAAGCATCTCACAAAGGTGCTATTGAGCTTAATAATGATGATAAGATAGAATAAGAAGAAGAAAAAGGATAGGATTAATTTTTATTAGAAGACGATTTGTAATAAACACAGGTAGCAGATTAAAATTAAGAATAATTTTAGTCACAAATCCATATACAAGACTAGTTTTGCCAATAAGAATCATAATAAGAAGATATTGATGGAGACAAGTAAAATTTTATATAAGATGATCCTAGTAATGATGAATAAGTTTCTAAGATTTATATGAAAGAAATAATTGAGTAAAATGTAGCTATTAGGAATATAGATCTTAATGACTCAAAATAAAGCTAGACTGAGCATTTCGATTAATACGTCACAGTTTAAGATATAAAATAATTAACATAAATGTCTTCTGTTGAAATAGAGGGTTAAGAGGTTCATACATTTGTCTAACAAGAAAATAATCAAATGAATAGTCTACCCAATATGGAATATCTAGATAATGCCCCAGAGATAGACTTCAATCCCTAATAATCCTAATAGAACTAAACTGATCGCAATTCCTATCAACAAATAATAACTTCATAAAATTAGCATCAAGATATGTCTCATTAGCAAGAATCAAATGTAAATATGAATCAAGAGGAGGAAGTTGGAGCTGTTTTTAATACTCAGAGTCCTAGATCTTAAGTATCATAAGAAAATCTAATATAAAATGAGGAGTAGTTTGAACCATTGTCGTTATAAGAAGCAAATCCTTATCATTCATAGAATTCTCAAATCGAAAACTCTATATGAGATAATGAGCATAATCAATTCCTTAAAAAAGAAACATTGAACATGCCTTCAACTGATTTGGATGAAATTTCACCACTTTCCAAAAAGACTCCTGAAGTGCCAGAGATAAAGACTTTATAAATCACATCATAAGAGGAGTAGATATAGTCTAAGGAGATAATAACAACATTTAGGAATTCCAGTGCTTAGATTGATTAAAATGCATCTTCTCAATAGAGCGTGATAAAAAACTAAGACTCTCTTAAATCTAGCAGAAAATAAAAGGAGCAAATTAATATCTAGTCTATCATTGATAAGTATAATAAGCTAGAATATATAGAGTCATAAGTAAGGGAACAACAAAAAAGAATTTCAATGAAACATCAATCTAAAGAGGTTGATTTAATTAATAAATTGATAATGGAAAAATAAGAACCTATTATAAAGGAGTCATTTACAATATAAAACGATACACCTTTAATTTAAAATGCTGCAAACATTATGAATCTAGCTGAAAGTTAGTAATAAGTTAGAATACAAGATTAGAACTAGATTCTAGAATATAATCAAGGATACTAGCAAATTGATTCTTCAAATCAAAATACCAAAAGGATAGCTAATAGCATCACTCCTATGAAGAATTTTTATGAGCATCAGAAGTAAATTCGTTAAGCAGGTCCAACTGTAAACATTAAGAAATAAGACTCGATTATTACAGTGAGAGATTCTTTTGATTTAAAGGAATTTATTAAACGGCAAAAACTTAAAAATCAGACATTATCTAATAAAAACAACTATAATAACAACGATTCTCAAATCTAGAAATAGGATATTCGAGAATTTCATTAGAGAAATCATAGTATAATTAAGAACAGACCTGTGGTTAGTGGAAGAAATTAACCATAATTACCTAACTAACCTCTCCTTAATTACCAAGTTGATCCAAGGATTTATAAGGCTTTATATAATCGAGCAAAAAATAAGAAGATTGCTGATTATTTCTAAAATCCAATGGGGGTTATTTAGCAAACACTTGGTTAAATTTATCAATCCTCTCCATAATCCTCAATGCAAAATTAGTAAGCAGCCACTATTATTCCCACTTCCTCTAAAATTCCTAGTCTATCACCGCCCCCTGCCTAAAGAATTCAGAGTGAATATTAAAGTAATTAGTCCTCTGTCATAAAAATCCCAATGTCCTCCAATAGAGGCAAAAACCAATAAATTGGTGATTAGAGATTTCATAATGCAAAGCAGCGAGTTTTATCTTAGAATGCCTATGAATAAAATAACAATACTATGGTATTATCCTCAGATTTGGTAGACTTAAATCAAACATACAGTATTATATAAGACATAAAATAATAATATGGAAGATAGATTAGTGACCCGAGTATGAAAGATGAGAAACAGAAGTGGAATAAAATAGTTGGATTTATGACAAAGAATCCTAAAGTACTCATGCAAATACTTCAGGCAAATGATGATGATAGCATGAAGTAGTAACTAATTAATGCTAACCAAGATGAGTCCCTAGTAATGGAATTCTTTAAAAATAGAAAAGTTGCATAAAAGGCAAATTTAATGCATCTAAATAATTACGGTAGTCCTCCAAAAGATAGTAAATATTCTGTTTCTGTTGGTGCAAGAACCTCTTCTTAAAAGAAAGTAAAAATGCAATAATAAAACTACTCTAAAATGTAAAAAAATTACTATCGATAACAAGAAAACCAGTAATAGTAAGAGAAATAATAATTGAATTACTAGATAAATGATTATGCTTAATTCTTACCCCCAGTTCTTGAAAATACTGCCTATTTAAATTAAAATAACATAAATAATAGAGAACATAAGAACAACAGTAAATAATAAGAGTCAAACTTACCAAAGCATATTAACAGAAATATAACCAACTAATATCAATCATAAGTTCATAGAAAAACCAAAAGTTCAATTGCGGATGAACGTTAAAAATCCTGTATGACTTAGAATGAATAAAGAAAATAAAAGTTCTAGATATTTTAGGATTCAGCTCCTATCAGTAATATTCAGAGCAATTAGCAATCTTAGAAATATATATACAGCTAGCAGTAATTATCTAATTAGAACAATAATCTTTAAATCTAATAGATACCAAACATAAATAACTACTTCTCCCGCGAAGATTACAATACAGTGAATAATACTACTGGTAATAACATAAATAGAAACACTCATCTGTACTCAGATTAAATTCAAACTTCAGATAAGTTTTCATCATTTTCAAATCAGAATCAATAGTATATGTTTGATGATTAAATTCAAATGTAAAATGAAAGGGCATTTATTGAATAGGAAAGGATGAACCTGGAAAGAGCTAGGAAGAGCCTGGAATAATAAAAGCAGCAGATGTCTTATGAAAAGATGTTAGAGAGCGAAAGAGTGAAAATTTAAAGAGAGAGATTAGCAATTGAGTCTCAAAAAGAGATGATAAAAATGGAAAAATATAAATTAGATTCAATTAGAAAAGATATCAATGATTAGAGATAATCTTCAATAGGTAGCATTTAAGAAGGAAAATAGTAATATATACATGGAGAAAAAGCTATTGAAAATCACCAAAATCTAATGAGCAGTCCTAATTTAGATTCAACTAAGGATTTTTAGTTAAATTAAGATAGCCTGATGCCAACGATGAGTGATAATAAATTAGAATTTACTAGCCCAAAAATGTTCAATAACTAATTCGAAGATCCACAATTCACAAATTAAAATCAGATTTTAGCGATTGATAATAATACCTCAGATGCCTTGATGAATTTAGAAAATGATGGATAGTACTAGCTAAGACTAAATGATCAATAAATTAATCCTAAATTAGCCAATTACAGTGAAGTAAAGAGTACAAGCTCAACATAAAAGATTACAGACTGGCATAAATCTCCATTGATGAAAGATGTGTAATTGAATAAGAGCTCTTTTAATCTGTAAGATCTCATAAAATTTAATACATATAATAGAGAGAATGATAGTAGATTTTATAGAGACTAAGATATTGAATATATTGTAGACAGCTTCAAAAATAGATATAAAGATTTCAAGCGTGCTAATTTAATTGATCCTCTGCATTCTAAAGCTCTCGCCACTTTGACTGAAATTATGACATCACTCAATCAAACTAAATAGCTCAACAAGATTGTAGAATCATTTAAAGAGGCAAATGTTCAAAATACTTATAAATGTCTTGTTAGATGTAGAGTTATGATTGAGGCTAGAAATTTAATGTATGAGGTGTTAAAAGACATCTAAAAGCATGAGTAATTAGTCTAAGATATTAAAAAGGTGGTGGACTTGCATTTGGAATAATCCATTGACGAAGATAGCATTAGAGAAATACAAGCACTAGCAATGCTGCTTCCAAATATTACTATGAACTTGAAAAACAACATTATAAGACTTAGGGATGAATACAAGATGTTTTAAAGAAATGGACTTACTAATAAAAGAGCTAAAATTTTGATTAGCAATGTATTCATTTACAAGAAGAGAGATGCCCTTAAGCTCATTCTTTAGGAATATGAGGATATAAGGAATTTAGTTATGGTCTTTGACATTAAGGATCTTCCATTTATTACTGAAAAGCAATAAGAATCACCAAATAAATTGGTTGATGTGAGGATAAGTAGAAATTCCAAATTGAGTCAATAATCAAAAAATAGTACAGTGAATAAAATTCAGCAGAGTGCCCATAAGAAGAAAACATTTAAGGATTAAAGCAGTCCTAAGGGTGATAATAATAGAGAAATATAATAAGATGCATAGCATTGAATAGATTTGCAACTAAATTACCATAGTAATTTAATTTTTATTAACTTAATGGATTTCAATGAAAATATTTAAATAATCCTAGTGGGGTTTTGGGGTTTTGGGGTTTTG